AAACACAAACTGTTGCTCCGTCAAGGACTACCTGCGCAAGAGCGACCGAAGGCAGAGATGCTCACCAGTTGGAGGCTGCCCGTAAGAACCCGCATACGCAGTCTGCCCGTAGGTAGCTGTGGTCTGAGCCTGGGTATAGTTGGCATCCGTGGGTTGCCCATAGGTGCCGTAGCTTTGTTGTCCGTAGGCCTGCTGGCGACAAGAAAGATGTTAAAAACTACGCCACGGAAAAACAGGGGTGAGGATCTTACTTTGATTGTAATTCTTATGAACGGGGCAGGTCAGAGGTTACATCGTCCCACTTTGAATGACTTGATGTGTTCTCAGGTCAGGCAGAACAACTGAATAATCCCTCAAGATTGCCAACACCCACCAGACCCAAGGGAAAAAGAGAAACAGGTATATAGTTGCCTGTCAAGAAATATTCAGGGCTTTCCCCATAAGCCCAATTCACTCACTTTTGCCAGGACAAGGAAGTTACAGAGGAAAACTCAATTATGGCACATTAGCAGATAGTTCAAGTTAATAATTCCGTTCAGCCCAGAACGAACGTTTAGCAAAAGGGAAGTAATCTGTCCTTACTTTTCTCCACCCTAAAAATCTCCTCAAATTTTCTGTCGACTCTGCAGCATAATATCTATGGAGATTGTCAATCATCCAGGTCCTGCGTGTTCCAAAAAGTGCTTTTTGCAAAAGACAACTGGACTTTCTTGTTTTTTTCCCCCCCCTTCCTTTGAAAACATTTTCTTCCTCATCCAAGAAGCTTACTTAAAATGGAAGACGCTTCTTGGACGAGAAGTAAAATGTTTTCAAAGAAAATCTCACCCCCCCCTAAAAAAAAGTCCAATTGTCTTTCGCAAGAAGCATCTTTGGGACGTCTGCAGTACATGGTGTTTCTTTAAAATACTAAGTGCTACGCAAGAACATTTCTCTTGCTTGTAAACAGCAATTAAGAGTCAAGCCTGTATAAACAACTTTGGTATTTTTATTTCTAACACGATCCGTGTGTTTTAATGAAGAATACTCTGAGCACATATGGGAATGGAGCTTCAAAAATATCAATGCCTTTCTATAGAGCATGGCATTGTCTATTTGGAGGTAACTATCGTATTTTTCGGAGTATAAGACGCACCTTTTCCCCTCAAAAAAGAGGCTGAAAATCTGGGTGCGTCTTATACACCAAATACAGCATTTTTCCCTCCTGACGCCCCGCCCCTTCACCAAAATGGCCGGGCATACCCTTATGGAGGCTTTCAGAGCTCCTGGGGGCTGGAGAGGGCAGAAATGAGCAAAAAATGAGCCGTTTTTGCTCCCCCCGCCCCAACAGCACTCTGTAAGCCTCCATAAGGCTATGCATGCAATTTTTTGACAAAAAACGGGCTCTTTTTTTGTGGAAAATTGACCCGTTTTTGCTCATTTTTGCCCCCCCCCAAGGCTATTCATGTCTTTTTTAAAAGGGGGGGGCATTTTTGCAAAAAACGGGCTGTTTTTTGGAGGTTTGCAGAGTGCCTCTTCAAAACTTTGGTGCATCTTATACTCCGAAAAATACAGCAACCCCCTATTCCTGCCAGGGTTTCAAAGAAGCAAAATGGCAAATATAGGAAAGAGATTAAATGTTACCCCTAAGTTAGTTGCTCTTTAGAGGGTATTTCAGTGAATTTTAGTATCAATAGTTTTCAATGCCATTGTCATTTTTAATTTTTTTAAAGAAGTATTTTGTTAAAATGACTTTATTTTTAATCTGGGTAGTCCTTGACTTACAACCACAATCGAGCCCCAAATTTCTATTGCTAGGTGAGACACTAGTTCAGTGGATTTTGTCCCACTGTATGAGCTTTCCTGGCACAGTTGTTAAGTAACCACTGCAGCCATTAAGTGAATCTGGCTTCCCCATTGACGTTGCTTGTCAGAAGGTCACAAAAGGGAATCACATAACCCCGGGACACTGTCATAAATGTGAGCCAGTTGCCAAGGATCCGAATGCTGATCACGTGACCACGAGGATGCTGCAACGGTCTTAAGTGTGAAAAATGGTCCTAAGTCACATTTTTCAGTGCCGTTGTAACTTTGGTCACTAAGTGAACTGTAGTAAGTCGAGGACTACCTGTAAGTAGAGCTGTTTCTCTCAACCTTGGCCATTTTAAGATGCTAGGCCTTCAACTCCCACAATTCCCCAGCCACCTATGCTGGCTGGAGAATTCTGGGAGTTGCAGTCCTACCGCCATTTTAAGTTGCAGTCCTATTGCCTTCTGGGAGTTGTAGTCCTACTGCCACATGCACCATTCCTTCCCATTTCCTCCCACAAGGGACCCTATTAAGTTAGTTGTTCTATATTCCATGTATCATAAAACCTATTTTGAACAGAAAAGAATCTCTGCAGATCAGGACTGAACTGTCCCAAGCTTGCTTGGAAATGTTCCATTACCCAACTAAAGTAACATCATTAACCGAGTTGGGCAATGAAACATTTGCAAACCAAACCGAACACAAAACCTTGTTTAAAAAAAACACTTCAATCAGGAGAGAGAGGTGGCTTTTACAGAAAGCTTGCCAACATTTTTCATGGGCTTTTGGCATTTTCTTTCCTAAGAGCGCCAATACAAGCAGGCATTTTTGTGAATGGAGATGAGGTAAGTACTTCCTTAATTTAACAGCTTGTTTTTTAATCTTAGAAAATCTGTTAAAGCTTCAAACTGGTCAGAGTTTCTATTTTGTTATCCTGGTGGCTGCATTTTACCTGGGTAGTCTGTGCATATCCTTGAGTTGGCTGAGCCGCATATGCAGTATAGCTACGAAAAGAAGACAAGATTATTGGAAGGTTTATAAAACAAGAGAACTTGGTTTAAAAAAGGCCAATTCATCACTTCTGATGTAAAGCAAAAGCAAAGCTCTTAATGCAACTTTGCAATGTCAAAACAGATAATACATTAGAACTCTAATCCAAGTTTTTTTAAAAAAATGTAATATTACTATATATAGAAAAACTCACCCCTGCTGGGCAGCTGCTTGAGTGTAGGTACTATAATCTGCAGATGGTGAGAAGACAAAACCAAGAGTAAGGGAAAACAATCACTATAAAACCAACTCAATCTAAAATCCAGGTTTTTCATTCTCTATGTTTTTGCAATACAGTGAAGCATGGAAATCCAGGATCGTTATCTGGATCTGGCACATAAAACTGGGATGTATAAACCAATTTCAGATCAAGGGTTCAAACTGGGGGGTCTGGGGGGGGGAATTGATTAAAAGAAGGATCAAATAAGTAAATGCTGCTTTAACTTTATGTGACAGACTAACATGACTTCTATTCCACAAAACAACTCTTTTTCACTTAGCTGATAATACAGTGTACCATGACTTGCTAAAAAAACCTCCACCACACCACATCTCTACAAATACTATTTTCGAATATTTTTTCCTGCTTTATCAGGTAAAATATCTTCTAATCAACAGTAAAATCTGTTTTCATTCCATGTTTGGCTTTTCATTTTCCATAAGGAATAATATTATATTTCATGTGGTCATGTGGTTTAAGAGCATTCAAAATGGAATCTTTATTTTAAGAATTATAAACTGCTTTTTTGGCATACTCTACTAAAATATACATGTGTATACACATTGTACCCAGGTAATCCTCACAAGCATCTTATGATTCTTTTACCTGGTACAAGCATAACAGCCAAACCACTTTAAATTCTCAGTGAGGAAAGAAACTAAACAAATCTTACTCCTTAAGTCGCCAACTGGAATTAACAGACTTTTCAGCTTGATCATAAGCCAGCTCACAAATATGGTGCAGTGGCTTATCTCCAAATGTACTATTGATCTTGACCTTTTAAAATGCAGCACTGCGATTGGATTATGCTCTATACACATATATTTGAACTGCCTTTTTCATACCCTCAGGACAAATTTCAGAGAAGAAGCCATTATCAGCTGCAGTAAGAGTAAATAATGTTCAGCCTCTTTGGAACTTAGCAAATTATACCCTTTAATTTTTCTAAACTAGGTGCAACTTTAGATGTAAATTGCTACCACTAGTTGCTTGGAGCAACAAAATTGGGGGGGGGGGAGCATTGCTTAGAATATTTTAAGAATGATCTATTTCTTTGGTTCAAAATGAAGTTTCATTTTACCACATCTGTTTCCTTAAAAAAAAGTACAACTTGGTTGGCTGTTTTGTGTTTTAAATACAGCTATATTGCTTTTCTTGTAAACCATGTTCAATAATGCAGAATGTCAAACATCGGTCAGCTCCAGCATAAAATGAAAGCAGTAAAATCAAAACCCCATCCTCTAAACCACTCCAGCTTTAAAATGCATGGACTTCAACCCCCCCATGCTGCCTAGGGGAACTCTGGGAGTTGAATTTGGCACTTCTCAAAGTTGTGAAGCTGGAGAAAGACAGCAGAAAGAGACTCATGCAGGGAGAAAATATTCAACAATGTTTACAAGATGAAGATCAAAGGGGCCAGAAGCAGAGCTGGGGGCAAAGAGGAAGAGCAACAGAAGATAAAACAAAGGGAAAAAAACTCCAGGACAGAGCAGAATAACCCCTAACTGTGATTTCAAAAAAAGAGGCAATGACTTCAGGCCAGTCACTCTATGAGCCAATTTTTTTCTATTTGAGAAGGGGGGGGGAGCCTAAACCAGAGCATAATTCTAACACAGGAAGTCCTTGACTTATGACCACAATTGAGCCCGTAATTTCTGTTGTTAAGTGAAACACTTGAGTTTTGCCATATTTTACAACCTTGCCACAGTTGAATCACTGCAGCTGAGTTAGTCACATGGTTGTTAAGTGAACCTGGCTCATATAATTGGATATAATGGTATATACCATTATAAATTATAATAATCTGCTTGTCAGAAGGTCACAAAAGGGGAACGCAGGGCCCCTGGGACACTGCAACTGTCATAAAAACCCAGTTTGCCAAGGGTTCAAATTTTGATCACGGGAATACTGCTGGGGTTAAGTGTGAAAAACGTTCCCAAGTCACTCTTTGCAGTGTCACCTCCAACGGTCACTCAATATACTGTTGTAAGTCAAGGACTACCTGTAAGTAGAGCGGTTTCTCTCAACCTTGGCCATTTTAAGATGGTAGGCCTTCAATTTCCAGCATTCCCCAGCCAGCCATGCTGGCTAGAGAATTCTGGGACTTGCAGTCCTACTGCCATCTTAAGTGGAGTTTCACTGCCTTCTGGGAGTTGTAGTCCTACTGCCACTTAAATTGGTTTTACTGCCTTCTGGGAGTTGTAGTCCTACTGCTATCTTAAGTTGCAGTTTTACTGCCTTCTGGGAGTTGTAGTCCTGCCGCCATCTTAAAACTGCAGCCCTACTGCCTTCTGGGAGTTGTAGTCCTACTGCCATCTTAAGCTGCAGGACCTACTGCCTTCTTAAAATGGCTGAGAAACACCGGGAAAAGAAAACAGCACCAAGTATAAATAAAGCAAGAGCCCTTTTGCAGGACAGGAAAGCGACAGATAAAAAGTAGAACCAGAGGCGGAAGCCTTATATAACGGGAAGGAAGGAAAGTAAAGGACGCCAGCAGAGGTTAAAATTTAAAAAAAGCCTGGGGAGAAACAAAAAAGCGGCGTCAAAAAAGGAGAAAAAAATGGAGAGAAATAAAAGTCACCCCGTGGGGTCAATAAAAGGAGAGGGGAGGAGGGAGGATGGCGCCGCTGTTCCACCCTCCGCCTCTCCCCCCCCCCCCCCCGCGCGCCGCCGCCGCCGTTACATTAAGCCACTAGGCCCGGTGGGCAGCGCGGCCCGGCCACGCATGCGCGCTCCGCGCCAGGCTCCCACGCCTGCGCACTTCGCCGGCGCCCTCGCCGCCTTTCTGCCCCCCTCCCCCACCTCCTCAACGGCCGCCCGGCCGACCTTTCCGCCCCACATACACACACACATATACACGCACAACGCGCGCTCGGGGAAGCGGCGGAATTTTCCAGAAGGGGCCCGACGCCGCGGTTTCTCCTCGCCGCCGCCTCAAGGCCGCTTCGGTTTTCTCCGCCTTCCCGCCCGCCGCCTCCCCGACTAGGCCGCGGCCTATTCGCCTCACCCGTCGACGCCATCGCTTCGCTGGCTGGGTCGCGCTCCCCTCCGCTGTCCTCGTCGTCGCCCGGCGCTGCCTGGTTGTCCCGCTTCGGCGTCGTCAGCGGCGTCGTTTCTCCGCCTCTTCCTCCTCCCTCCGCCTCGCTAACGTCCTCCCGGTCTTTCTGCAGCCCGCGACTGCGCAGGCGCGAGCCTTTCCTCTCCCCCCCTCCTCTTTCTTCCCTCCCCCGCCCCAGCAAGGGACGCTACCACCGCGCGGCGAAGAGGAGGGGTGGACGCCGCCGACGCGCTTTTCCTCCTCTTTTCCCCGCCTTTCCGTTCGGGGGAAAAAAAACAAAGAAGAGAGAAAGGTAAGACGAAGAGAAAGGTAGCGAAAGAACGAGAGTGGGGTTGTGGGTCTTTTTTTAAAAATCCCCCGTTCGGATGCACCGCGCCCCCCCGCGCGCCAGATAGTAGAATGGTACCGTCCGGCCACTTCTTAGGGATCCTAGCGCAAGAGGCGGAAGGATTGGAAAACGTGGATGAATCTGCCAATGGGGTTGAATTGGGGCTGGGGGTGGATGATGGGAGGGGTTGTCCTTTGCTCAATTTATACAGCCTGGTATAAAAAGGGAAGGGCGGGGGGTCGACTACGTGGTATTTCCCTTAGGGCCTGGCTTGGGATTTTATCTCCCATCAATACTAGGCAAGGATATCGGGGTTGGACTAGAAGACCTTCAAGGTCCCTTCCAACTATTCTATTTTATTCTTTCTATTCTATTCTCTATTCTTTCTATTCTCTTTTCATTCTATTCTCTATTCTATTTATTGTATTTCTATTCTTTCTATTCTATTCCATATTCTATTCTTTATTGTATTTCTATTCTTTCTATTCTATTCTCCTTTTTTATTCTATTCTCTATTCTATTCTATTTATTGTATTCTCCATTCTTTCTATTCTATTCCTTATTGTATTCTTTATTGTATTCTCTATTCTTTCTATTCTATTCTCTATTCTTTCTATTCTATTCCATATTCTATTCTTTATTGTATTCTCTATTCTTTATTGTATTTCTATTCTTTCTATTCTATTCTCTATTCTTTCTATTCTATTCCATATTCTATTCTTTATTGTATTCTCTATTCTTTATTGTATTTCTATTCTTTCTATTCTATTCTCTATTCTTTCTATTCTATTCCATATTCTATTCTTTATTGTATTCTCTATTCTTTATTGTATTTCTATTCTTTCTATTCTATTCTCTATTCTTTCTATTCTATTCCATATTCTATTCTTTATTGTATTCTCTATTCTTTATTGTATTTCTATTCTTTCTATTCTATTCTCTATTCTTTCTATTCTATTCCATATTCTATTCTTTATTGTATTCTCTATTCTTTATTGTATTTCTATTCTTTCTATTCTATTCCATATTCTATTCTTTATTGTATTCTCTATTCTTTATTGTATTTCTATT